ACTTTTTGATAATACCTTATTCAACTCTTTTTACAACTTAACTGTGTATGTACATAGATTACAAATCAAAATCAAAACATAGCTCCTTCGGACAGTCTTAACATAGCTGCGTATAATGTTTGAAGAAAAAGGACTTCCTTTCGAAAACTGACTACATGGCGTTTCTACATGAACATGCTAAGATGTTGATGATGATGAATCTTCTTCTGGGTTCCAAAATTCATAAAAATATGAACAAACAAAGATACATTGCAGGTCCAGTAAATGTTCTACCAAACCCCATTTTTTTCCACCTTTCAAATGTAACATTAATTGTGCTTCATTATCAGCCGACCTGTTATCATAAAAAAGCTGTTGCTGTGGCCTTCAGTTCGACATTTAGATATATCGACATTTTACAAATTATTATTCGTTTGTTGACTCGATATATATATGTATCCTAGTGAATTCGAAAGACACCACAGAGTCTGCCACAATCTGTTTCACATATGGATTTTTACTGGATATTTGAACATCTATAAATTGATAGTCAAATAACATCTTAACTATTTGATAAACGGAATGGCTTCAAATTTTCCAATAATGTCAACTTTCTTAGTTATGCAATAATATTCCATAACTATAGATGCATATGGTGTTTATGTCTCCTAATTGATTCATCGGCAAAGGCGTGTTCTGAGTTCAATCAAGTTTTAAACCGAGGCAGGCTTCTAGCAAATAAGTTAATGTTACAGGGTTTTCAACAATCACATTTAATTTCAGCATTTGCAAATTCTATGGTCGTTATAATGACTTTGTTTGCAAGTAAAACCTACTGTTGGGTCGCATTTAGACTCAGACTGACATATTTCATACCAATTGCAAGGCCATTCTTTTTATTCTTATTTTGACTGCGGGTTATGCCTTATCAATACAGAAGGCTAAAAGTGGGTGTGTCTTACTGACATGGTATGATTTCTCCTTTTGACTTCTTATCCCCTCATTGTGTTTTCATGGATCTATGTTCTTGCATCGTTCAAGATTCTTAGAGTTGACAGAATGTATGAGATGGACCACCGTTTGTTGCATGCATCTTCACCTTTTATCATTCTAGTGGCTAAATATATGACATACCAGGTAATCATATTTTATAAAAAATTCATGAATATTTTACATCTTAAATTTGAAATATTCATGAAAAATTATCTAAAATTAAGAAAATTTCAGAGTGTTTTAAAAAGCATAAAAATTTTTAAAGGAATTTCAAAATGCAAAGTTTCAATTTTTGAGAAACATGTAAATAATCTTAGCACGTCTGGTCTTGGCAGAAACCGAAAAGAAAATTTTAATTTTACCAAAGCTAGAGGTATAATAATGTTCAAGCTGAACAGACTACCCTTAGGAGCTTCTTGAAGACCATGCCACTGAAAGCTTAAAACACGAATCTCTATATTTCGTGCCACCTGCATAAAAATCTTGGATCATAAACACGAAAGGTGTTGAAGACCGTTACATCATATCCCCAAAGGGGCATAAATGCAAAATCTCCATCAAAAGCTATTCATGGAATGTTTCTGATAAGAGCATGAAATGTTATGTTTTACAGAGTATTGTAATTAAATCCAAGGAATCATAAAGTTCAAGAAAATGTCGATATAAAATTGTGTCATTCCAAATAATTCTGGTCGCTCAGCTAAAGCTATGTTATGCATCACTTCTTCTCAAACCAATTACAATTAGACCGATGAACTTGAGGGGGAAAATGATCCAATGAAAGTCTTAGTACTACTGTAACAGCTGACATATTGCTATATTTGTCCTCCATCATGCGTTGTAAGTCGTTCGTTCACTTTTGAACATTTTCACCTTCTCAGGAACGGCTGAACCATTTGGTGGGCCAAAACTAAAAAAAATAGTGCAATGTTCAATTAATAATCATTTCCCTTACTCCTGCATATCTAGCAGGCAAACTTGAAAAGAATGAACCCTTTACATTTCCTAGAACCAGCCCAGAACCTTTAGTTATAAATCATCGTCACTAGATACACATCTATCGTGAAGTAAGATTTTATCCCATTGTATGCTTGATAATTTGGAATGTAAAGCAACGAAAACTATATTTCGCATAAAACGGATGTTTCCCCTTCCCCAATTGTAGTCCCCACCTTTGTTGTGACCTCTGAGACATGACCTTGAGATAAGGCCAGAACATACCTGTTGCTTGTGAGCAACAAGATTTGTTTCAGGTAAAGTATTGTCAGACACGATTCAACTGGTACATGTATCTTACTGACCTTGCCCTGTAGCATAGGACCTTGAGGTAAGACCATATGAAGTTCCTTTTGGTACAGTAATCAAAAACAATACTCAAGTACACTGCACTAATAAAGCTAGGACATGGTTTCACTATCAGCACAGTAAACTTGACTTTCGAGATGTACTTGAATCATTTAAATCAAATTTATCTATCCCTTGTTTGCGAAAGGAATGACACGGACATATTTTATTTTCTGTTAGACGGACAGACTGACAAAAATATTGCCAAAGAGAGGGTGTCCGCTTTTGTTAGGGGGAACTTTGTAAAGCTGTATTCTCTTTCTGTCGACTTTCGAAGGATGAAAAGGAAATTCAGAAATTAATGTTAGTGTAAAATGTTCGTAACATTGTGTTATTTTTCAAGATTTGGGGCATTTCTATTATAATAAAAATAATTAGATGTCAACATATTTTTTTTTTAAATTTTCAACCTAGGAATGACTCAGTTCAAATATTATGACGAAATAGTTATATATTTTCAGAATCAGGAAGGGCATGTGCATAACTTTTATACCAGTTTTAAAAAAATTATTTCAAAAGAAAAAGGTGGGCAGAATAACAATTAAAATGATTTGTTACTTCATTACCTCTATGTGCATATGACCTTGACCTATAAATTAATGTAAAAAGGAGACAGATTTTGTGTACTTAACATCTACCATGATATTAACCTCGTCCTATATTTTTTTCCAAGGTTTGTAATCAATCCATATTTATATTTGAGTATGTTTCGAATGCATCAAACAATGCTCATGAAAGTGCTATTAATTTTGTTTGTTTTTCGACCTCGATGTAACGTATATGAAAAAGAAATGCCTGCATGGTTTTAATAGGTTGGATTCAATAATCAGGTCATCGATATCGGTCAATAACACCATCCTGTCTCGAATATTAATACATTGAAAGAGCACTTAATATAGTCCTCAAGGATATATTGTTTTTTAATAAATCATTTCTACCGGTACCTATAGCTAAACACGTTTTCTCTTTTTTTTTGCATAATTAACATGCATGTATTTTGTCAAGAGTCTCAAGTTTATTCAATCCTTGCCTTCAAGATTCTGAGAGGCTAGAGTGGCACAGGCAAAATAAGAGGTCTAGGCGAAGATGCTTTAAAAATTACAATTTCACAGAGAACAGCCTAGAAATACAGATATATGGCAAAACATTTTTAATTAAATCATTAAGAAAAGATATTGCTTGCATACTTAACTGATTGTGACTAGATTCTAGACTCTTAACCCAACTCTAGTCTCTAGAATACAGATTAAATTAATAATAACGTGTCAAAAAGGGGAGTAACAGGGCAGTTCTACATTTACTTGATTTATCCATTTTCTAAACAATTTCAGACATTTTTTGTAATTAGCCTCTGTATCATTGTCGAAGACTTTGCTAATGAATGAGAGTACATTTTTAAAAATGAGAAATCTCATTCAAATGTATTACATAGGAAAACTATTATATTAATTCAAATTATAGCTACTTTCATAAATACTTTTTTCTTAACGTTTCACGCCACGTCATTGTCGCTGTTTAATGCAATTCCGCCTAAAATAACAACAGAGACAAACTACATGTGTATTTATCGGAGATTAAAAACTATCCTTCCTGTAACTGTCAATTACGACAATGGGATCATGTCTGAATGTTTTGCGTGTTGTTTTACACAATTTGGTGTCTGGAATGTTCTATCAATCAGCTATTGCATTTCGATTTCTGTGACAAATTTCAAAGTTACCGCAATCAGATTGTGAAAGTGATAATGTGGGTGACATTTGTAATCCAATAGATCAATAAAAACTATTATCAACACGGGGATAGTTAAGAATCGAAAACAAATGAAATAAATTTACCCCACGTCCTCATTCTTATGTTAATTTAACGGTTTAATTAACCTTACTTATAGTCTATTGTATGTAAAAAAAAAAGTTACCAACTTCGGAACTACATGTAAAGCTTATCTTTTCGAATGAATGAAAACGTAGGGGGACAAAAAAAAATCAGCATCCAACAATTCTAATAATCAACCTTCAAATAATTTAATCTCTTGAGTTCAGAACTGTATATGCGATATGCCATTATTTATCTTGTATCACTACTTGGATGCTCATTTCTTTTATACCAGAAATCATTTGGTCAACCGTTCCTTTCGCCTAAATGTTAAAATGTAAAAGGGGGTATGAGAAAAATCGGAAGTACAGAAAACCACGCTTATAACGAAGTGCCAGGGGTGGAGGATTTAGCTTCGTTTTAAACGTAATTAATTCGCTATATCTGTTAACTTCACAATAAATTTTAAACTACACGTAGGGAAATAAAATCACTTCGCTGCAAGAACTATGTTCGCTATAAGCATGTTTTCTGTGGTTTGCATAGATGATGCCTTTAAATTTTTTAAAAGCTATATCAATGTTACTGATAAAAGCAAAAATTACAACAGCAACAATTACAAATATAAAAATTGTAATTCCACGTTACTGAAAACTTGTACCATGAAAATTGAACATTTCACAGACAAAAAATATATTTAAACAATGAACAAGAGGATATTTGTGAATATTTTATTGAGAGTACAAGCAGATGTTGCGTCACCTCAGGCAGACCACTCTATTTTATATAATTATATATATATATATATATATATATATATATATATATATATATATATATATATATATATATATATATATTTAGGTATAAATTTATCCAAAAATGCACCTGTAGTTACAAAATATATGTGGGTGACCTTTGCTTTCATTGAGCAATAACATAATAACTTTCTATATTGACTAGGAAGATGAAAATTACACCTGCAATGTTCGAATACCATAAACAAACAACCTCGAAATAGAAGTTAAAGCGCTATAAGCGATAAAACACGCGTGATATTGCTTAATAAGTTTTGACAGATCATTGTCATTGCAAAAACTAAACTGTGTGGCTTGCAATATCAGGACGAGGTATAATGAAATTGATTCTGCAAAAATACATGACTTTTAGTTACGTCATAAATCTACTACATATCAACAATATAAAACAAGAATGTATATATAAAATGATCAATATATACAAATAATTGTGAGCAAAGAAAACAAAGACCCAGTATTAACATTCGAGTCGCCATAATAATATAGTGGTCACCACTATCCAAAATGCAAACCACCGTCCCTCGGAACGGTTACCAGTAGATTCATCGCGGGCCATATAAGGTGATCGTTTGTTATTATTAACAATAGAATATCTATTTTTAAAGCAGTATTCTTTGGTGTTCTGCTGGAGTTCGTAACAATTAAAATCCTCCAACAGTTCATCACAAATACAATTCTGTAGTTTCAAAGCATATTTCTGCTGATAAAGTATGTTAATCGTAGTATTACATCTCTCGGGACATGAGCCTATTTCCTTCAAATTCCCACAATGGCTTTTGTAATACACCAAAGCAGAAGAGCACTCACTGTCCGTAACGCAAATCCAGAGAGCAATTGAACAACTGATCGGTTTTGATGGGTCATTATTCCTATCTACTGCATCAAGTGCGCTCTTGCACACTTGTAAATTTTGTTTTCTTTCGTCACAGTCCGAGTATTTTCCACGATGCTTCTTGCAATCACAGTTTATGTATTCATAGCCATCATCCCTCGATACGAGTGTTATAAGGGCCCTCTGGCATTCCTCTGTACATTCATTTGTCTCTCCTGCCAACTGTCTACCACAAACTAACTGAAAGTTGTGTAAAGCATTTCCACAACGTAAATGGGAGTTGCATCGGTTCTCAATGTCGTGGCAATATTCTTCAGCTGCTAAAATCAGGCCTAGCAGCGTACACAATGCAAAACAAGGTCTTTTCATTTTGTTGAAGCCAACAACTCAGTCACATGATATAATCAGTTTTATTGTCCCTGGAATACAATACAGCAATGGTCTCTACGTACAGTAGTTGGGTGAAAATTGAAATAATATCAAATTTGAAACACGCAAAATGCAATTAATTTTTGATAGCGCTAAAGGTACATGGAAACTATATTCTGGAGTATCCACAAAAATCAATTATACCTACTGCGCAAAATGTTTGACGCCCCCTTTTAAAATATATCCATGAACTCATGAAGAAAAACCAAATTCAAAGTAGAATGAGAGCTTTTGTTAATTCCAGCCGCTTTATACGTCTATTATAAGGAAAAGTCCCGAGAGTCCGTTTATTTCTGCTGCCATAGAAAAGGCTTCCGAAATTAAGTAGTCCAAAAGATGTCCAGAATTTCCTCTGTCTTCTTGGAATATGAAAAGCGTTCGAAGTAAATATTTATCTAAAATCTACATACAGAGTCCATCCAGTGTAATTTTCTGGAAGAGATAGGCGTTAAGAGGGGGCGTAAATACTTGAATATCCTTTGCCCGGAAAAGCCAATAATATTATACGACCGGTATAACGAAAGATGATTGATGCAGCACAGTGATCTGAACCTTAAATGGATAGCAGCGATATTGGAAGCAGATGTGGGACCTGTTCATGATTTCAGACAAAGACACTCTTACAGAAATATGACCCAACGACAATGGACTTGATCAACACCTTTCCTCATGCAACCAATATTCAATGATAATGCGATTAACTTCTAACAACAGAGGCAATAGGCACAGACGACAGTTAATCAATATTAATCGAATTCCGAAATTGGTCGCTGGAGTCGTAAGTAAGTGGATACGCCCGAAGGATGTATTCTTACACTTTGTATTGAGCCTTTGGAAACCTAATCAAACGTTAACTACCTGTATGTCTTCCCAGAATATAGTGCGTTTTTTTCAAGGAAGTAGTTTATAATTTTACAAAAGCACGCTTTTGATTAAAACAATAACAAGCCAGGGCGAACTGTGTTTTTCAAATCACTAGTGTACTAACTGATTATAATGCATTGATTTTAATGATTAGTAGCATTTAATGCAGACAGAATATTTTTACCATAGCTTCAAGTATATAACATGGCTATCTTTCAAATTTATCATTATTTTTTCATACAATATTCATGTATTAAATAGATAGGTACTTGCTGACTCTTTAATAGCTTTTATCTTACTAGCAATTTATTTTGTAAAAGAAAAAAGTAGTTTTCAACGTTTATTTTTTCAAAATTTAGGTCTGTTTGTCCTGTCATTGAAAAGAATTAACCTTCATTTTTTAATGATTTTTTTTAAATTTACTATCAGCATAATTTTAAATTTCAAAAAAATGAATAGGAAAAGACTATTTTAAATCAAATTAATAATATCTTATTAGATATCTCAAATTTATTGAAATCCATAAATAATCGATCATGACATATTTCTTTTGATTTTTTTTCCTTTAAAATATTTGTTCGGAATTAGAAACTCTAAACATGTAGTATTGAGCACGATATCTGGACTATCAGCATTCGTGCACTACGGTATAAAATGGCAATTTCGAATCGTGCGTTCTGCTCACTTTAAAATATATATATAGAGAGAGAGAGTATGTGATTATTTTTAGAGAAGAAATTGTCATTTTTTGCAGGAGTAAGTGTAAAGGAACTTTTCTTAATATTGTATGAATTTTAAAAACATTTCTAAACTTTGAAGAAGCGGCGATGCTTTATCTTATTGAAAGTATACACATTTTTAGGTAACTGCCTCCGAGTGAAAAAAAGGTTAGACATCCCCCACCTCCACCCCTACTTGCGTTTTTATCCTTCTTGGGTAAGTCTATGAAGCTGTAATAATCATCGAACGCAATGCCTTCTCATCTATTTATAGACTTTGAATATCTTGATTGCTTTCTATAATTACATTACAGGTAAACGATGTCGAACTTAGCCGCTTTCCTTTAACGTTAACTCATGGTAATCCTAATGGCTCCCATCAACGTTGTCGAATTTCACGGTTGGTAGATTTTAAATACCAATTTATAATTTCTGCATTGATTTACAAGAAAATACACGTCGGCAAAACCAATAAGAAAAAATTGCTTCAAAAGACAAAGAATTGGAGGCAAAACAATTGATGTACAAGTTTGTTTCTGTTTTATTGTATTGGGTACCATCCTAGCATGGTGGGTCACAAAAAAGAGAAACTAATCTTCAAATATTTATGGGAGTGCATAGTATGCCATTATGCAGTAATGGACCTAATTTTTCGTGTGGTGAGTTGTTTATGTTGGATCGTTTTCGATTGAGAGTACAATTTAGTGATTTCAGATGATATTAAATACCAATATTTTATCCGAGCACTTGGTGTTGAAGATTACCATGCAATTTGTTGCAAGTAATCTCTTTCTTCAGACATAAATCTCGTTTTATTTAATTTGGTGAAAATTATAATCAGTAAAAAAGGTGATCGTGCTTTATTTTTACGCAAGAGCGATTTCAAATGTAAATCGCTAAACTATACTTGCAAGTTTAGTTCAGTTATTACACAAACAAACAATGGTACATGAGGTACAATGTATAAACTTCAGTGAATTGTACGTATACTAAATGGTCATAAATTCTAGGATTTAGTTCTAAGAGTGACATTTCACGGGAACATGCCGAGTTAGCATTAACCGTTTGTCTAAGAATCTTGATTGTTTGTATCGATCCATCTTTACACAGACTCTGAGGGAACCTACTAAATTTCTAATCACGTCGCCATGTGTAAATATCTTAATTTGAATGGACTTTCCTAAGGGTATAGGAACTATTGAGGCATCACATTTATATACAAAGTTGATACATTACGCGTAGATTTTTCAATGTTGTGTTAGGATTCATTTCGCTTCTAGAAGGTCAGCGAACTGAATGAGTTTTAAGTAACGTTTAGGATACAATTGTATTTTGTTATGAAGTCTTTTTTTTTTTTTTTTTTTTTTTTTTTTTAAATTGTACGTATATATATATATATATATATATATATATATATATATATATATATATATATATATATATATATAATTTATGTACAATTTACTGCAGATATCTGATCTGAAATGATTGGTACTGATGATCAGAGGAACAATTCTACAATGTACATACATGTATATACAAACGAAATAACCAAAAACAAACAAACAAATAAGTATCCCCTCTCCAAAAAAAATGACTTGGTGAATGTGAACTTCTATTATAGTAAATATTGAAGGTGGATCACTTGCCCCTATAGGAATAAGATCTCTCATTATATATTTTTTCTTAAATTTAATATTAAAAAAAATACGTGTGTCTAAAAGATCTGCTTTAATTTGCAAATCTATGAACTTGATTTCGGTATTTTACATGTAACATAGTTGCCCGCGTGGCGCAGTGGTTAGAGCGTCTGCTGTAGAGTCGCGAAGTAAGGAGTTGATCCTTACGTCGCGGGTTCGAATCCCACTGTGGGACGTGGAGACCGGTCCTTCGGACGAGACCGTATAAACCGAGGTCCCGTGTTGCAGTAGGTGCTGACACGAAAAAGATCCCCTCACTGCTCAATGGCCGTAAGTGCTGAGTATAGAACAAAATTTGCAGCTCTCCATCGGCAAGTGGTGGCGTCTCCATATGAGTGAAAAATTCTCGAGAGGGACGTTAAGCAACATACAAACAAAACAAAAAACATGTATCATAACCTTGAACATAATGATTTTATCATCAATGTAAATTTATAAGGTCTTATCCAAAGAGCCGGTCCCCATGTCTCGCCGCGGTATTCAAACCCGTGGTGTGAGGATCAACTCCTTAAATCGCGACTCCAGAACAAAACCAAGCACAGTGCGACCTTCATTTATTAGAAAAAAAAAGAAATTTGACTCAGGTGAGCGTTGTGGCACATCATCTCGTTTCCCATATTCAAGGTCTATGTTTGTAAATTATTTCTCGTCTCGAAAGTGCGTACAGGGATAGGTCGCACAAAGGAAAATTACATTTTTATACTGTGAGTTTCTGATTCATTCCTTAACCTCTTAGTACAATAAACGTATAGACATGAAAAGGAATATGTGAGAATTTTTTATTCGATATCTACAGTTTAATTTTGTAATTACCAGTCCGATGAATTGATGTAGCTTTTTCATATTATTGATATCTGAACGATTCTTCCTTGGAAGAAAACGTTTGGATCATGATGATTTCCACCGGAAGTAGCCTTATGCAAATTATCTTACTGAAACGATAAAACCCACAGCGATACTAAGTCTTGCCTTCCCCTAATGACAAGAAAATTATCTAGAAATAGGTCGTATTGTATAATTATTATCTGAGTGTAATATTAATTATCAACTGAAATCAAAATGTGCTAATTGACATAATTTTACAACACTTAAAATATATAAATACATGTTAATTGATATTCTTATACAATGAACTACTAGTTTAAAAACTTTTATTTAAAATATTTTCCGAGTCTTTTCTGCAGAAGTTTTAATGATCGGTAGAAAATAAACAATTATAAGTTCATAAGTGTGCACAATAAAAATCATGTATTTTCCCAAATCCCTTACAACTATAAATTTAAATTGAACTTATTGCGTCGTGTGAAAATAAAATACAGAATTTCCCAAGAATATCGATAAATATTTATTCATGTACTACTCCCCTGCAGAATGAAAATGATCGGGAAACAATTTTATCGACGAAAGTAGATGGATGAATTTTTTTTTAAGAACTCGAACATAGATGAAATTAAAATGTTTAATATGTTTAGCTTTACTGGTCGAAGATCTAATGCCATAGTAAAGTGTCATTGTCGTCCGTCTGTTCGCTTGTCTATAAACAATTTCTCAAATTGTTACCTCCCCTACAGTTTTAATCTGATTTCAAGAATTTAAAAACTTCATATACATGTAAGTACTTAACGATGATTTACATAATTCCATTTATCGCTTTTTGATTTCGAAAAACTGTGTTGCCATGATGGCTAGAAATAGTTACTTGTTTGAAATTATTCGAAATCCTACACTTTCTGTTGAATTTGAATGAAATTTGGTATACAGTTAAACTATAGTAAGATACAGAACTCTTAATATGGTGTTGTCATAGTGTCTAATATCAGAAATATCCGAATTTCTTCCCAAACGCTGCTCCTCATGATTAAATATTCCGATTTCAATTAAATTTGGCATACACATGAAGACAATAAGATACATGTTAGTTATTCAGTAAGTAGGTTTCGTTTATTTCGACGAAATGTTCTGTCATAATTACTTTGAAATAAATATCTGTAATATATTCAATGAGCCTTCGGCGGGTGTGGCGGGTCGACAGGGGATGCTTACTCCCCCGTGGCATCTGATCCCACCTCTGATGTTTTTAGAGGTCCGTGTTTGCTTTGCTACCGATTTGTATTATTTCAATGGACTTCTGAGCTTGATTACCAGCAATAGAAATCCTCTTTCAAAAAGCTAATACTCTAAAAGATTTTTTTTAATTTCAATAAAGATGGCACAGTATATTACACAATGTTCTTATATTCATTTGCTTTAACTTGTAATTTATTTTTAATATTGTTGCAGAGATTTAAATAAAAAAAGAAAAAAAACACATTAATTTGTAAATTCTTTCTAAACGTTATACAACCAAAGGTTTTTGTCCGATTTCAAAAAAATAAATAAATAAATAAAACCCCTGTAAACAAGTTTATTTAACTAATGAAAGAAAAAGTGAGCAAGCTCACATACCCCACGCTCCCCCAAAACTCAACAATGCAACACGTAATGAATGGCACAGTGCATTTTAAATACACAGTATAA